TATATATATATATATATATATATATAATATATATATATATATACATAAATATAAATATATATATATATATATATATATATAAATATATATATACATAAATATATATATATATATATTATATATATATATATATATATATATATATATATATATATATATTTATATATATATATATATATATATATATATATATATATATATATATATATATATATATATATATATATATATTTATATAACCTACACGATGGAACAACATGAGCAGAACTCCAATAACTTAAATATGCTAAAATATTTCTAGAAAAATAAATACTTTTGAAATCTAATGGTAATAAATTATTGTTAAGTAAATTTATAAACCAAGCAATATTAGTAGATATTTTGTAAATGTATATAAAATGTATAATATTCATAAAATAGTTAGTATCTACAATCTAATAATTGTAGATACTCCTAACTATTTTTTAAATATTATACATATTTTTATATCATTATATATAACTGTATTTTTTATATCATTATAAATCATTTTTATATCATTATGTCCAGTTTAAATACTTAATAGGATAACTAGATCATTTGTGTAATACTCTGGTTTTTAATTAAAATAATTTTGTGTTAATAAATAGCTAAAAATTCTATTGAACTGAATTAATAGCAAATGTGAGAAGTAATAACTACAATATTATTGCAGCCTATAAAAATAAATTTTTTATCTTTGATATCTGCTTTATTTTTTGGAAATTTATGAACTAAGTCTTTAAAAATATGTATTGAGCATTATACTTTTTTTGCAGTTTGCTATCACAGAAATGATAGCTGAACAAATTTTAATGTATATAAATTTAGATTTTGACATAGAAAACAGCAAATATTCTTTTAGTATATGTGGTACCTGCAGAAAAGTACTAAATTTGCGTGACATAGATATTAAAAACAAAAAAATGCCTAAATTTCTAAAAATGAAGACATATTATTGATAAAAGAAGCTAGAACTAGAGAAGATAGATAATGCAATTGCTATAAATGCATCACAACTAGATATATTGGTCATCAATCCGTCGTTAAAGGAAGAGGTTATAAAAGAATATTGATTTCTAACATTACTGAAGACAGTGGTTTACTTGCTGCTGCCGGAATTAGGAAAGTTTTTTTAAAATCTTGTTGAGGTAAATATTTTAAGCTTTTACATAATTTATATATACATATAATAAACGAAGAGAGTGATATTTCTATTCAAAATTTATAGGTAATGAAGGTACAAATATATTAGATTTCAAATACCTTTTTTGAAAACAATTTAAAAGTTTAAACTAAATCACTTAAAAATAAATTAAATCTTTAACACTTTTTTTAGCTTTTATTAAAATGGTTTTAAACCATTAGTATACAGGATAACGAAAATAAAATTGTCTTTTTCGTTCATATTTTTGATGATATTAAATAATCAGCCCAAATACTTATCTTTACATATATTGCTTTTTTTTTTTTTTAAATTAAACAACGCATTTTTATTGTGTTTTTATAACTTTCATGATTTTTTGTCGTTTTTACTTTTTTATTTTTAAAATCGTTCTGCTGGAATATTATTAGCAACAAATTATTTTATTGCTGAAGTTTTTTTTGTTTTTGTATTTATACATTACCGTCTTTTTGTCTTTTATCATTTATAGTGCATGTAAGTTTTTGTGTGACGGGGGTCGGTGATAAGACAACCTGTCTTCTTCTTGCTCCGGCCAAGATTTTCTTTTATTATAATTTCTTTTTTGTAATAATTAACAACGGCAAAAAAAAAAAAACTTTGTTCAAAAGGCAGATATAAGTTATAAATCGTTTAAAAACCTGATATAGCCAAAAAAAGTCAACTTTTCAAACAAAGGCTTAAATAACTTTCAGGCAAATACTGAAGTATCTTTAAATGTGATGGAGAACTTTACTAATTTTATTAGATCCAATAGAGGTAAAAAGACTTTGCCTACCTATCACAGAGAGCAGGCATCAGAAAAATCTAAATCTTTAAAAAGTTTATATCAGGTTACACAAGATACGTTTAATGTAGAGGGTGAATCTTAAAAGAAAGCATAGAGGACAGAACCAAATATTAGGAAAATTCAAAAGATATTGTGAATGCTGTGATAATAGCTAAAGAGAATAATGAAAAAGTATACATTAAGACAGGCCCGTAGCAACCAGGAGATTAGCTGGGACATTTGACCCCCCCCCCTAAAATCTATAAATCTGTACAACAATTTTACCAGAAAGTTGTTACCCGAGCTAATGATGAATTGTGAATTAATTAAGGATGAAACTGAAGAGTTCAAAAAGAAGGTTTTTTTTGAACTCTTTGTTTGAAGAGTTCAAAAAGAGAAATTGAGCTTTCCTAACAAAAAAAAGATCCTTGTATTCTGAAGGGGGTACAACTAGCAAAAAAAGAAAGTTCGCAGATTATTAATGCTTTGTATAGTACCTCAAGTTAAAGAATCTTATGAAAACATAAAACTGCTGTTTAATTTAATTAGGTTAGATAGGATTCCTTGTGTTTTTGTTGCTGACTTAAATTAATTTTGGTTGTTAATGGTCTGCAGGCAACCACTTCAACAAATCTTTGTCCATATTGCTATGTTAAACTATGGTTACTCCGAAGATTTATTAAATTACACAGGAGGAAAAAAATGTATGTGATGCAAAGTGCAATTTAGATATTTCTTTGGAATCTTTGAACAATAGATAGGCAGGTTTTCGAATATATGGTGATCTGAGAAAATGCTACTACAGATAAAATTAAATAACATTATGTTTTAAATTATTTTCTGTTATCAATATCCTATCACCCTTTTAATAATAAATGTTTAATATATGGTTAATATGTACTTTACTAGGTTTCAGCCATTAGGAGGAATAAAAAAAAAAAGATGCCACAAACACTATGAGAGCAGTGAAACTTCCACTTTTTAACGAATCAGATTCTATTTTAGTTATAGCTAAATGCCCTCTTCTTGAATTAACTTTAATACAAGGATTCGTCAACCATGATTTTATGAAAGCAACAGATTTTTCTGAAACTCTAAAAATGCATGTAGTTCTTAAACACATTGACTAATGCCTTTATGAACTAAATTCAGATTATGGATTAAGACTTGTTCCTGAACAAGCCGAGTAAATCCATAAGGAATTTTTAAAGTTTTGGTCACGATATCAAATTTATATAATCACCGATGTGTCGTATGGGGAGCGATTGACGTAAGCTGTTGTGGTATTTAGTTCTAGACATTTAAAACAATTTTATTTTCTATTTAACTTAATTTTATTTGTTTAAACCCCTTTTTTTTTAACATTAGTTATGAAAATATCGATTAAAACAATTTCATAATTCTTTTGATTCTAATTCACTTAGCAATTGCTCCAATTGGATTTGAAGTATGCAAAAGTGTGGTTTTATTGCGTATTGTAGATTTATAATAACTTTCAAAAGTATTGCAGATAGCTGAAGTATTTTATATATAATAAAAACTCACAGTTTTCTCTATTACCATATGCGAGATGAAAAAATATAGTTTAAAATAATGACTAAATTAAAAATTAGTTAAAAGTCATGGACGAGCAGCTAGGATTTTAATTCTAACAGATTTGTGATCTACAAACGAATTTCTAAAAGAATCTGCAAACAGTTTTGGTTGACATTTTTATCAATCTTGAATTTGTTGAGGGCCAGTGTGTACTGGGTTATAAGAATGTCTTATATGCGACAGTTAACTATAAAATTTTTACTTCAAATAATAATTTATTCGTTCGATGATATTTTGCTGAATGTAATATATATTTTTATGTAATATATCTTTTTATGTTTCATATAATGTCATATAATTTTATGTAATATATCTTTTTATGCTTCATATAATGTCGTTGTTTTAAATTCTTCTACTTTTTGAAAATAGAGTTTTCAAATTAAGTATTGAATATACTTACATTTTAATAATCCATTTATCGCGTTGATTACTTCAATATTTGAAATTAGTGTTCTAAGTAAATTAGAAGGTCATTTAAAAACTGGATGATTATCAGAAAAGTTGTTTTCTACTCTTTCATTTGAAGAAACTTTAAGTAAACAGCTTCAATTAAAAAAGGCAATAAAGACTGCTGTAAAACGTTGCCACTAAAGGAGTTTTTTTGGATTTTTATAGTGATCTCAGCTTGCATTATAGATTTTTTAAACCCAAGACAACGTTTTATGAAAACGTTTTATGAAATGGTTATACTTTAATTGATATATTGCTAAACAGTTATGTTTAATAATGATTGTAAATAAATGCTATATCAATAAATTGTAAAACATTAAATCTTCCAATAAAAATAATTTTAGTGAAATTTAATCTAGCGAAACACGGTTGTTGTTTACATTTTTTCAATTGTCGTTTAATGCCGCGACAAGTTAAAATTACTTTGATGTTTTTTATACTTCTATAATTCAAGTAAGTTTCTTAGCATCAATAAGTTTAGTATTTAAGTTTCATTGATTTTTGTTAATACATTATGATAATTATCAATTGTTAAGGTATTCTTTTAGTTAAATTATTTACTCAAATACAAACAATTGGTTCATTTTGAATAAATTATTTTTTTAACTAAAAGAATTAATACCTTAGCAAAAAATTATTAATGTAAGTATTTAAATTATATATATATATATATATATATATATATATATATATATATATATATATATATATATATATATATATATATATATATATATATATATATATATATATATATATATATATATATATATATATATATATATATATATATATATATATATATATATATTAACAGATCTACATAGAAAACTTTGTCATAGCAACTTCTAAACGCTTGTTTTGTTTGATTAAACAGTAGTAATTTGAAAGTTTAAATTAAAAAACATTTCTGAGAAAAAAAATTTTCTAGGAATTTTTTTATCTTTAAACTTAAAACAAAAAATTTTGCAACATTTTAGCAATGATAAGATTAAAAAAAAAAAGTGCGAGTGGTGGGTTGATATTAACATAGAGCAACTGATATTTAACATACAGCGAATAAAAGCTGGTAATGGAACTTGAAATAAGAAAAATCCTAATCTTTTTCTTGTCTTTGCTCCTGCTACTTATAAAGTATTAAAAACTAGTTTTTAAAGATAATGATAATTATATGGTAAACTAAGTAGGATATTTTTTCTTTATTTAATTAGCATTTTACTTTATATTAGCTGTAAGTGCAATGTACTAAAATTGCCTTTATTTTTTTCATGTTTATACTTTTATAACAATAAATAATCTAATTAATAATTGTTAAACATTTATTTTATAGCTTAAAGTATTCGATATCACCAATGAACATTTAAATTCAATAA